GCTCTCAAGTGTCTCCAAGGTGAAGAAGGCTCAGCTCTGGCCTTCTCCAACATCATCATCACCATCCTCTCGATGGTCAGCATGAATTCACAAAAAAATTAAATCAGTTTTTTTTTCCTCTTTTGTTTTTGTTATATTCTCTGCCAAATTTGAAATTCCAGGGTGTGTGTTTTGTAATTTGTATGATAACTAGTTGTTTAACTAGTTATGAGTTTGAAATCCTGCTCCTTCTGTCAACTCTGAGCAAGGTATCTTATTGTTTACTGCTTTCCATGTCAAGAACATGGCTGTGGACTGCCAACATTCAATTGCTCTTTGTACCACTCGATGGATCGGGGCATGTGAAGAAAACAGAGAGCACTTAACAGCCCCACACATCCACCACTTTACCTCTTTTCAGCTTTGAACATTATGATATTTGTACTTATTATACCAACCACCACCATATATCACCCGTATGTAAGTAAATGGAATTGGAATATTCCTACATTAATTTTGCCTCAAATTGTTCTACTCTTTTAAAGAACAAGTCATAGAACTCTTGCATTCGTTGCACTAGTATCGTGTCCTTATTTGCAAATGATGGAAACTAAAATTTAATTTAGGTTTTTTATCACAAAACATCCTTGACGTTTGTGAAACTATCAGATTGTATCCTTATAGTTTTTTTGTATCACTCGTGGTCCCTAACATTAATATGGGTGCTCTTAAATAGTCCCGTCGTAAAAATAAAAAAATCGTTAAATCCCCATTTTATGAGAGATATAATCATCAGATCAATCCCTTTTGACATTTTCAATGCCTCAAACCCATTTGTTGCCAATTTGGAACCATTTCCCTCCATTTCTTGTTGGAATTGGGTGGGCAACTAAAGCTGCAATTCCATTTTCACATGCTAACAGAATGTCTTACTCTGGATGAAGAACAAGCACTGAATATGGAACATGACCAAATTGAACTATAAAACAACACACGTTGAACAAATTGAATAAACTAAACTACCAACCACTGTAAACAAATTGAACCAACTGTATACATTAAAAACCACTTCCATACATAAAAAAAATCACTTTCAATTACATTATCAACCACATTCAGTTTCATCACATTAACCCCTACATGACTTCTATCAAAAATCACTTCCATACATACAAAAATCCTAGACCACTTCCATCAAAAACCACTTTTATTTCCATCACTTTAACCCCTAGAAAACTTCCATAAAAAAACAATATCATATATCAAAAACCTTAGACCACTTCCAATTACAGTTCCATAAAACATCATCTCAAACTCTCCATGGCCTTCCTTACTTTGCTGGAGACTTTAATTTCTTTCTTTGGACAGTTTGTGATGTTGAGGCTTGCTGGGATGAAGAATTGTGTGCAATAGGAGATTGTGATGCCACTTGAGGTGCTGGAGAGGGTTGTGAAAACCTGACAACTGCTATAGAAGGTGGGGAGGTAAAAAGGGGTTGATCTGACGATTATATCCCTCATAAAATTGGGGATTTAACGATTTTTTTATATAGAGAGACTATTTAAGAGCACCCATATTAATGTTAGGGACCACGAGTGATACAAAAAAATTTAAAGGATGCAATTTGATAGTTTCACAAATATCAGGGACGTTTTGTGATAAAAATCCTTTAATTTAACATTAGGGTTCAAATTCAATTAAAAAAACAATTTTATTATGAATGACAAGGGATCCACGCATATTAATGTCAAATTTTTTTGGTAAAACAAAAATATACTCATTTAGTATCATTTGGGGGGTCAAGTTCGAAAATTATCGGCATGAATGATGTGTGTGTGGAGAATTTGCACAAATAAATAAAGCCGGTTTGGTATCCTTCTAAAAATTGATGATTTATTTTTAAAATATGAGTTTTTAAATACTAATTTTAAAATCTAAAAACATGTTTGGTATTGAACTCCAAACTATTTTTAAGATCTAAAAAAAATTGAAATTAACAAAAGAAAAGGGGGGAGAGAGAGAGAGAAGAAAAACTATAAAACCTTATATTTTTTTTGTTTTTAATAATGAAAGTTTTTTTGAGTTCGGTTTTAAAAAATTGGCCTACAATTTTTGTGAATTTAGACTTAAAATCTGTTATTGAGCCAATGATATGATGCGGTAGTGGGTTTTGTTGGTGTGGAAAAATAACAAAATGAAAAATACAAAGAATACGGCATGAATGATAATAATGTCTGCAAATAGAGAAATGCATGCGGTGGCATTATGGCCGGCACTCAACGCACCTTTTTCCTTTAGACAAGAACCACTTTTTATTTTTTGTTTCTTCTTCTTCTCCTCCTTCTTCTATCTTCTAAATTTTGTCTTCTGGATTGTACCATCACATAATGGAAGTGGTCAATTCTCATCTATTTAACATCAGCGGTCAGAATTGGATGGTGGAAAATGAACCCTCTCACAAGATTATCCCATAATTGGGACGTATATAATTTTTCTTTTTAAACACTAATTTTCAAGCATTTAAACAATTAAATTTACGATCATTTGGTTTAGTTACACTCAGTCTTCACTTTATTTTTTAGAGTACGTTCGTCGAAACAATATATGTGTAATCTCTCTTTCTCTGTATCCCAATATACCTTCCCCACAATAAACCAAATGAAGACAACAAGCTACACAATATTTTAGCTTGATTTCATGCTTCATGCTTCTTCTTTTAATTTTAATTTTTGTTTTCTTTCAATGGTCTTGCTTTTTTTTTTTTTTGGTCGGGTATTCCTTTTTCTCTTTTGCTTTTCAAACTATATAATCTCTTTCCGCTGACCAACTGAGGCAAAAGAGTTTTGTAATATTAATAGGTTGGATTTGGAAGCAAGCAAAATTCCAATTCTCTGAATATTTTTTTTAATCTTCCTTTTCCGGATGTTTCGTGACTTTAATTTCTTTGACTGAGACTACTGGAGCAGGCCGGAAAAGAAAATATCAAGACATTAGGAAAGTCATCCACACCGATTAAGCCCTTCATATCATATAATATGTTTCCGGTAGAAAATTTTGGTATATGGTCGGTGCAACTTTAATGGTGATCGATATGAAAATTTATTCTCTTTCGTTTTCTAAAGAAGTGTTTGGACATAGAAACATCTTTATCTAGGGCCGGAGCTAAAGACAGTTTTGAAGTGGCTTTAGACTCCGCTCTTACGAAACTATTTACAGTTAAGTTTTACATTTGGACTATCTAAAAATCTTAAATCCACCAATATCTTTAGCCGCAACAAAGATATCGATGACGGGGCTCATGTCTACCTAGCCATGTTGCTTTACATTTGTAAAAATGATATTTCACCCAAATTTGAAATATGATATTTTGCTTATATATATATATATTGTTTACATTGTACTTGTGATCAAAATGATATTGTTTCGTAAATTATTCTAAGGCATTTAGGGTTTAAGATTTAGTTAGATTGGTGAGATGTATTTATGATGTGCAAAATCGTTTGTACAGTACTAAATATAAATCCCAACGAGAGTTTAAGTGAGGCACATGAAGAACAGCTTGTGGCTGCGTATTATAATGCAAAACATAGCTGAAAGAAAGACAAAGAAAAAAAGGTTGACAATGATGGTGGTAGGAAACGGTCCAAACACTTAGAAATTTTTTATGATATCCACTTGTTATCCAAAACAATTTTGTTAGGTTCCTCTCCTTTTTGAGACATGAGAGCTACTTTTGACGTAAAAAGCTTAAAACTTGGAACTAGTTTTCCATTTGAGACCGCCTTTGAAAATTTTGCTAGGGCATGGAGAATAGAAAACTTGGAATTAAATGCGATGTGTATGGTTGGTCTGGTTGGGGATAGAGACTTTCATTCAACGTTTGCTACTCCCGGTTAATAGCACAATGACATGCATGATAATTTTTCCATGTATCCTCCTAGTATCGGCCGAAATAGCAAAACAGTGTCATTCCTATTACAAGAAAGTTTTTCGGAGGGGGATCATTCTCTGCTCAATTATCACCTCATGCCCAAACTTTTCTTTTGTTGTGCATGTAATAATTAGTGTATACTTACAAGTCGTTTGAGAGCGTTTTTGTAGGAATCCCTTTTACTCATAAGAGTTCTTTTAGAAAGAGCTTTATAATTCAGAAACACTTTCAAATGTTTATGTCGAACGTTGCAAGAAATGTTTTTGGTTATCTGAAAGCGCAAATAATATTCCCTATATTGAATCCTACTACTAAGTTGCTATTATGTTGAATTGGTAAGAGAGAATAATTGGTACACCATTGTTGGTCGCAACCACCATTATTGTAAGTTGTAACTATCAAGCTGCAGTGGAGGGTTCTCCATCATGTATTGGATGGATATTTTCTAACCTGACGACGAACAATTGGAAATTGGAACTATGGTTGATGAAGGCCTGCAATAAGTTGAATTGAACTCGTTAATCTTGGGTCACATTCTTTTTAACCAAACCAATCGTAGATGGGCCACTTGATCTTTATAAGCTGGTTCAGGGCCAAAATATTATGTTGGTCCACATGGTATGCTTTGGGTGGGCCAGGGTGCTTAGACCCGATTACAAATACGTTTTCTCAGAGCAACTCCACCATGGGGGGTTGTGTTTGTGTCTAGATAACGGGCCAGTTTGGCATTGCTGTGCTGTGAAAATAATCGCTATCAGATTTGCTGTGACAGAAATCAGCTGTGAGAGAAAGCAGTTTGGTGTTTTGGTAAAATTTTTGTTAAAAGTGTTGTTGATGTTGATTTTACGCATAATCAGAAAATGATTGCTACATAATCATTAAACCCAACATCTCTTCAAAACTGATTCCTACATAATCAGAAAATGAAAGCACCTAATTAGCTGTTTTCCCTTATAGCTTTCTTTCACAGCAATTTTTAACAATAAGTGATTTTTTCGCAGTTTACCAAACGGGTTGGGCTTCTCAAAATTTTTTAAAAATCACTTATCACCCGAAATAAGCAATGCCAAACTAGCACTACACTCCACAGCTACATCTGCCCCACTGTGGTTCTTGTAAAGTTGTACTTGTTGAATCCACTTTCATGTTTTATCTAATACAAATTACAAACACAAAATGGCTAACAAAAGTTTCACCTCTTGGCTCCTATTCATTATTGGGGTCCACGTGTTTCCCCCCTTCTTGTTTCACTCATATTGTCTCAAACTTAACCACTTTAATCCTACATGTGTGAATTTTATGTTCAAACACCTCGGTGCTGTGCCAAATGATAAACATTAGTTAGGTACGTGTCTAAAGCGAGGCAATTGTATTTGATCAATGCAATTCCCATCTCTCAACCTAAGTAGGAGACTAGTTCAATTGTTTTAGAACTTGCAAAAAAGGAAAACTCAATGGAAGATCCCAGGAACTTTGTAGTATTGGACGGTGGTGAAGGCCAAGGTAGTTGAAAAGGAATTAATCTCTGATTAATGTTTACTTTAGAAGCATACCTGATTTGCATGTAAATACAATCATTTGTGCAATTTAAATCACAAATCCTTCCTGATCACATACACCTCTGGTGCAGAGATTAGATTTAGCAAACACATGACAACTTCTTTTAAAATCTCAGCACACACTAGTAAGTAAGATACACAGTAAACTG